TCGTTGTTTTTGAATAGATATCTTTGATGTGATTTTACGGCTGTAAAGGTATCTGGTCCAAACTGCATAGATCTAACGTCTGTCATGGCAGTTTGGAAAAAGGAAAGGTTAACAAGCAGTTAATACGTCTTAAAGAACGGGACATGCTTAAGAACGTCCCATGCATTGCTACTAGCGATTGCCGTGCTGCAGAAACAAGGTATTTTGAAGTTGTTTGAAACAAGACGGAAAAGATGTTCATCTTAAGAGCGTTCGCACTTACTATACTATCAATTTCGTGCTTAGCAGTGCAGCGTGATGATCGCGACTTCCGTGCTTTCATAAGCTAATTTCCAAACACCAAGTCACATTTCTACTTCCTCTACACTGCGCTGTATCATGCCATTTGTGTCGTCATCGCTGTCTCCCATAATACGCAAGCTGGAAAGGCAGCACTGATACGATGCTCCAAGAAACACTACTTGATCAATGACATCGCGATTTTGAAAGTAAAAGTCGACGACAAAATTGGAAACGGGAAGCGATTTATGCACTGAAAGATATGCACCTTGTTGTGAAAGAATGGTGGAACTTTTTTTTTTCGACGAAGAACGTGCGTAGTAACGTTTGCGTTCAGTCAATCCAGCTTGTTAACTGCATGCCGTAAGTTTGTCATTATTACACGAACATCTGGCAAGTCAACAAAATCGGCTCACGTCTGTAAGTTGACAGAAGTCAGAAAGTCGGTTGAGAAAAATTTCTGCTTCACACAATAGCAGCTTGACAAAGATCGAAAAAGGGCTCTTATTAGGTGCCAACACGCTCAAAAGCTGGCATACGTTGTGTTCAGTCAATCTAAGGGTTTATCAATAGGTGCCTTCACTTCTTCTCGTGTGAGCACGGGCATCTAGGACTACTACTTTGGTGATCCTTTGCATAACCGTTCTTTTTTTTCGTTTATTCCGTTTGTTTTGGCTATGACCCTTCTTCATACTATGCATTTTCAGCAATTCATTGACTCCATTTACTCTCATCGATCACCCACGAAGACGACAAGCCTTCTTATAAAGAATTCGGCTGCTTCTTGAGAATTTTCGTCCTCCTCATATATATCCTTGTATTATGGTCGAATTCATATCTGTAAAAGCTTACAAATACAATTCATTTCATAGGAATTCTCTTCTGCTACTCGTGTTTATATCTTTATTCCGTTGTAAGAGTAATCTTTACAACTTGCACAAGGTTATAGGCATTTCATAGGTGTTGAAAACTGTTGATGACACATCATTTAACCTTATTTAATGACTAATTCACTCCAGTGTCAGGGTAGGATGAGAGATGTAGCTACTTGTGTGCCGAGATACGAGCAAAACTTGGAGCCTGAGATCGCTTTGATAACCCTTTCCGTTGCCTCATGTGTTACCCAATGTATTATGGAGATCCTCGCCTTGCCTTTCTCTCAAATTTATTTGAACCAATTATTGTGAATATTAAAGGTTTATGTATTTTTTCTATTTCCATAATAAATTATGAAACACTGTCTTAGTTGCTGTAATGCCGTCGGTTGCTGTTTGACCGATAATTTCTACGAAAGTTTCAAATGTGGCCAATGATGTTCTCCTTTTCATTCCATTCCTCCTTCATGATGTTCTCCATTTCATTTAACGCACAAGGTATACAAAAAAGGTGTTTTCTGTATTCATTGAACCATCAAGCTCAATTTTTTTACTTTCGCACCATAGATTTTCCTAGCACTAAGTCCTTACCCTATTTATGCGTAGTCCAAACCTTTATTTCTCTCCATTTAATTCAATGAGCATCGTCTTTGCTTCAATGGCAGTGTTCGGAAAGGTGGTGGTGCCAACTGCAAAACAAAGGTTTTATAGGAATCTTTCTATACGTGTTCCTTTTCATACAAATAGAACGAATCATTATCCACTGTAGTGCGGCGCTGAATAGCACTGGCGATATAGTCGCCTTGTTGAATCCTTTTTTGGGCATGGTGAGGGACCGATGGAAAAGTTATATGTATTTGCTGAAATTTTGACAAAAGTCGGTTATTGCTCATTATCAGATGGATCTACATTTTCTTTCCAAGCGTCTTCTTGCAATCAGTAAAGATGAGAAAAAGGAACATACGGTATCCTTAACAGACTTTACTGAAACGTAAGAAAGTCTCGATGTGATCCTTATAACAGAATCTTTTGGGAATCGAGTCTGCTCAATTGGCAGTGCCTCATCCGGGGTCTTTGATGTGGACGGAAAGGATAAATATCGTCGAAAACTTTCAGAGTATACTCAATAAGTTTTTTAATGGTAATTCAAAAGATCGACTGTTTTTGAAACCCCCAAAAAACATTCATATAATTCCAAAAAAGAATGATTTAAGCTCAAAAAGGGGTTGGTACGCCAGGGTCATACACCGGTGTTTCGGAGGTTCGTCCTCCTCATCAGTGACCCCCGTCCCACATTCAGCTCTGCATTGAAGCAAGGAAGGAGGCGTATGTGGTGATGGCACAGTGTATTATAAAACTGTACCATCACCACCTCTCAGTCGATAGATTTTTGCTGTTAGATGGAGATAAAATATCAGCCAGCTAGCAATCGAGTGCGAAAATACTTTTGTTAGGTGAAAATTTCGCTTGACATAGAGTATAAAACGTACGTCGTCGACAACTCTCTATAAGGAGTGTAACGCACCCGAGAGAACTGACTATAAAAAGATCGACAAACGACGGGTTCTGCCCAGCTGATGAGTCTGTAAGGGCGAAACACGTGTCTCGGGCTGTACAAGAGCCCTTACCAGACCACATGACATGTTGACTCAAATAATAATGAAAGGATCTATTGAAGTTTGAGCGTGGTCTTATAAAGCACTCGAAGGAAAGGTATAATTATGAGATATGTTTAATTTTGAATGTGCTCTTGAGAAAACACTCAAAACAAGCGATCCAATATTTCAAAATTACCATCCAAAAGCAATAGAGTGTCAAACACTGCAGTTTTAGTGATTTATTTCACTTAACGGCAATTGTGTAAATCGTTCGTCGTCACCTGCTCGTTATAGGAGGACGTAGAGGTCCCCGAGAGGACTAGCTATAGGCGAAGGGCCTTCCCTACTGACGAGGCTGCAAGGCCAAAAAACACATCTATCGGGGTGTACAAGATCCCATAACAGACCAATTTAGATGTGGGCTCTACTAATTATGAAATACACAGAAAATCTCTAACGGATTACGATGTGCAGAAAGAGGCAAGAACTTATGGGAATTGAAGAGCAATAACCGTCAATCACTTTAGGATACCCTATAAATTCGGCATAAGTATGCAGGCAGAATGCATTTATATGACCGACAGTCGCGCGAGCCTATTAATGTATCCAGACGAAATTCGTTTTGATCGCTATCAATTTTCTCCCCCAAAAGGTGGGTGGCGTTGCTAAAAATGAGAGCAAGATGAAACTAACGGCCTTAAGAACTTAAACTCACCGCTAACTACAAATTCAACAGATTCTGTCAACTGCCAGATAGGTAATATCCAAGATTTTTCATAAGGTTCTGGAGGACAGTTTTTCGAACGCTTATAAAAACATTGGCATGTCCTGCAGAATTGAGCATAGTTCACGAGGTTAATACACAAATTTTACTCGCCTAATGTTTCGACGAATTTCAATTCCTTCAACGCCGATGATTTGATAATTTGCCTACCGTCGTTCGTTGCCGCTGTGGTCTTCGACTTCCGACAATTCGAAGAGGATTCGACTCGATGGCAATGAGGACGAAGATTACAAGGAGAACGAATTAATGTGGGCAGTGGACTCGAATAATCTAAAGAACATGAACGTATCGAAATGTTAGGGAACAACGTTCATTCTCATTAGGTGTTGGCAAAGCAAAAACCGAGTTCATTTGCTATAAAGAAACTTTTCTTGGGACAGTTATTAACCACTCGAAAGTTGACACGTGTGGCTACAGCCCCACGTCGCCGGTTTTCAAGAAAGACTTTTTTGACGGTGTGGATAAGCGCACCAGCCACCAGTTCGGTCCACGAACAGGCCAATCAAAAGCCAATTTTTTGCAACGAGAGATTTGTGATAGCTCTGGCAGCGAGAAACTCTGATCGATACAGGATTTTGCAAAAAAAAATTAGGATCTCGGGAAGTAGCAACTCACTAACATTCATTGGCCATACACAAAAAAAATCTGAAGCAGGAGATGTCAGAGTTGTGTTAGACCACTGAAGGTCCTTTGGAGCGTAAGCGGACGTTTGCGGTGGTTGCAGTGGTTGCAAGTGTTCTTCAGTACACGATTAAGATTCGATCTCACGTTGTGATTACACTAACGTTTCATCCCTCTAAGTTACGGAAAAGTGTGTGCGTGTAGTGAGTGTGTGGTGTGGGTGTGTGTGTGTGTGTGTGTGTGTGTGTGTGTGTGTGTGTGTGTGTGTGTTTGTGTGTGTATGTGTGTGTGTGTGTGTGTGTGTGTTGTGTGTGTTTGTGTGTGTTGTGTGTGTGTGTGTGTGTGTATTGACGAATCTCCTTCTCGGCACATATTTGATCCAAAGAAAAACGCTCTAGTACTTTTTACCTTCGTTGACATCTAACAACAACCAAAGTGTGACCACGCAAAAATTCCTTGAGTTTCAATCTGGAAGTTTGAAATTATATTTATATTTCAAACATATCTCCTTACATCACAAAAAAACCGTAGATCAACTATTAACGAGTTGCATAATTTTCTTTTTAGAAAAGAGAACTATCTAAATGTGTCTTACCTATAAAACACAACGTTGTATAGTTCATTACATAAGCAGCAGAAATTATGCTGAATATCCGAGATCCACGCTAACATTAAAAAGGGAGCAACGATTGCTATGGTCACTCGATACGCCAGCTTAAACAGTGCAAGGTTTAGTCACAATAAAACATTACTAGTTCAATCGAAATTTATTTATTTGACCGCTTTTTTGCGGTGGTATAATTTTGTAATATACCCAATAATGTGGAGTGCTGTGCAAAACATTTGCGTCAGCCGAGATTCGAACCCTGATCTCTCTCTTTCCTGGAGCATATACTAACCATTGCACCACGACGCATTATTGGGTATATTACTGGTTCGAGCTGTAAGTCGAGAAAAACTGTAAGCACTATAGAATACTGTCGATGTGAGGAATCTCAAGCTCCAGCATAGGATAGTATTGATCTTTATGTGCACCTTCAGCAGTGGCCACAAAATCGTGACACATCGAGAACCACAGTTCTGTAGAGCTAAAACAGATATGAATAACATAAAAACTACAAATCCTTCTTACTCATGATTATATTCCGAATATAGTATGGACGTGTTTAGGTTCAAAACAACACCAAGAATGTTGCATATTTATTTGAAGTGGCAGTAATTCCGGAATGGAACGCCCTTTCGTGACATAGCAGATAACCCACGTTCTAACAGATGGCCTCAGTAATTCCAATGTGGCGGACTCCTGCGGCATATTTTCTACGAATTACGAAGCGACAATTTTTCAATTTATAGGAGATGCTCGTTGGATTTGTCAGATTTGAATATAGCAGGCACGTGCATATCATCATGAATGTGGATTTGCATCACTGGTAGCTGAACTTCGTAGCCACCTTCGAATTCTAAGACCAATTCGGAACACAGTTTGTTACGGTCTTCTTCATCTTTTTCTCCAAGAAAAATGTGATAACTCCACATCAGCAGTAGTAACTTTTAGGGCATAATGGAGCAGCGAAATTAATTAACACATACTATTTTCTATGACAGGAGCGAGAAGACTTTCACACTTCTAAGAGAACATGATTCTTCGAGAGGTCACATGGAACCCACAAAAAACGCTTTGGTTCTTTAGGTCACCTTGCCTGAACTGGTGGTGAATTTTGTTGATTGCAATGAAGTTTTGACTACAATCTGAAGAGCTTGCTAATCCACCACGACAGATTTTAGAACGATATTTTCCTCAGACATATATCTCTCCTTCTTTATTGCTAAATATTTATCATTCTAAAAGAAAGCAAGCGAGCGAGCCGGAGTTCGCACAAAGTCATACACTGACGCTCTTCAATAGATTGCTTACTCTTGTGACCTCTGCATTTTAATTAAAAATTTCCTTATAACTTTGGATTTTTTACCTTTGAAAGTTTTTGTATCAAACATTTGGATTCAAGCTAAGAATAACCTGACGTACTACATCATGGGTTTAATAATGTGTGATTATACGGCGCTGAAAATTGAAACTAGTAGATCGGACGATTACTTAGTCGGATGTCTCCGCAATTATACAAAAGCACTAGCGTCTACCGATCATGAAGACTAGGAAATTTTAGGAGTAAGTCAGTTTTTGCGGAAACACCACCTATCTTGTTGTCCTGGCCTTTTCAACCTAAAAAAACACATGTTAGCGTCAGAACAATGTTGTCCTGGTGCTTCTTGAGCAAAAATACGGTCTCGGTATCGATGCATTATCCAGTAGCCAGTACAAACGAATCTGTGGCCAACAACTTTCTATTGTGCTTAGACAACGACCTTGAAAGATGATATCAATTTACCAATAGTGCCGACTGAAGCACAATAAAATCAGACGGAAATGCCGGAAATTACATAATGAAGATATATTACGTTTATTCGCTTAATGAAAGGCATAGATCAATCTATGATCCATAACGATGACGAAAAATCAATCAAAATCGGTGTCTCTTCAATGGTGTTGAGTGGTGTGCAAGACTTCGACATTGTAGCATAGGAGGAGTGATTGCAAAACAGACTTCAGTAGTGCAGATGGTTAAGCACGCACCCCCGGAAAGGGTGAAATGCAGGTTTGATTCTCGCCTGATGTTAAAATCTTACGAACCACCCAACACCATTGGATATACCTGTAACATCTCACATCCGCTAAGAGCGGGTAAATAAAAAATATTCTGTTTCGGTCATAATCGGTGATTCTTTTGTCAAAGGTAAAGGAGAGGTATATAGACGCTAAGTGAACATCAAAAAAATCGAAAAGAAAAGATGTACAGAAGAGAAAAACGTTTGCAGTATGGAACTATAGAAAAGCCGCTCTTCAACTGATGAAGCAGAAACGCTTGTTTAATTTTTCAACTCAGTATTTCCTTATACGTTTACTGGCCACTCAAACATGTCAAAAATTCTCCAAATCCCCATAAATCACATGAATGATGGTTTACAAAATATACCCAATACATTCGATGCTAACCCGGGCTGCAAATTATATCGTTGAAGACTATCTCGCCCTTGCGATCTAAAGAGATGCACATCGAAGGCGAAATACTAATGTGCACGTCGTACAATGAGTAGGATTGACGAAATATGGGTAGTAGTGGTGAGATCGACAAGAGAGACCATAACAGGATTCAACGCACGTTTTAAAATGGTAACAAAAATAACGACGCTTCTGTCTTCCACGTCGAGTGACAACTCTCGCAACTCAATACTATCCATAAGGCTCAGAGTGGCAACCGTCGGTAATCGTGAGTGCTTGTGGTGAAATCGCCATAGCGAACGACTGTGTCAAAATGAAGGCACGGACAAAGAATGTGCTGGAGTCGCCACGACCCAACAAGATGAGTTATGCAACCAAAATATGCTTTACTTTGGTTGACAGAATCACCTGAAATACAGTGAACATCTGAATTCTTCCTTTCTTGTCAGATCGGTCTTCTTCCCAGATGACAATCGCGCTGAAGTGCTTCAAAATTTGCAAAAAAAAAATCCGTAATTCATAAAGCATGATTTTGCTAGATGGCCTAAACCTATTTTCGTTCTGAACTAATCAACGCGAGCAACGAGTACCTTTTTATATCTTATAGTCAAACCCACTGGAACATTTTCTAGCTTATCACAGTCTTTTGTCAATAAGCCCATATGCAAACAAAAAAAAAACTGGGTAAAACAATAGTGTGCAAGAAATTATGGCGTGACACATAGAAACCAAGATTAGCTTAAGAGTTGGGAATCTCCAGCTATCAAATGAGTACAAAAAACAGAAGAAATAGGACAAAATGGTTTCAAAACAAGTTAAGACGCTTCTTTTCCGGAGCGGTTTTCTCGTTAACAAATAGAAGTTTCAAGTCATGTATGGGCGTTTTCCCACTAAGTAAGCTTTATAGAAGTTCCTCCTGTGTGATTCATTGATTAAGCTTTATATTGATATAATAGTAAGCGCAGTTTAGAATGTACACGGCCACATAAACAAGCCTATGTATACTATATTATGATATATTCATGCTGTACTATATTCATAAAGTCAAGCAGAAAATGTAGCCGATCAAACGGTGCCTACATGTGTAAATTATCGTTTGTATGGTACAGTATACTAAGAAGATTTTCACGGAATCTGAGCGTAGAGTAGGAACGTCCTTCTCTCAACTACCGAACGACTGCTAAAAGTTAAGTGAAAGTAATGTGTTTGGTATAAGACGCCTTTGAAAAATCGTGCACTAAAATAGTGCACGCCGTCGTCTAAGAATTAAGCTCAACAGTTTGGGAAAGCTGGAGAGGTAGTTGGAAGTTTGAAACGAAGGATCAATGTAAGTATGGCGACCACAATTCTCTACGATGCATTAATCAGCGTGAGCGTGCATTCAATATGTGCTGAAAAACATATAGAGTGGCTGAAGATTGCCCTGTGGTTCAATTTTTGCAGTTCACTGCTTTATGGCATCCTTTACGAGGACTGAACATGAGATTAAATTAGAATTGAAATGGAATTCTTTCTAAACTGTTCCGACATTAGCATTTGCTGCCAACCTCGCAAGGCACCCGACATCTTATTCGCGGTCGTATGCGTCCTTCAAGTTCTTCTAAAATCATTGATGCTGTCTTCCTTATATAGTCTACGAGTACGAGCTTCATAATGAGTGAGCTGTACCAATGTCTGCTTCCACAATAATTGACAGTATCCTTCATTCTTATCACGTGTATAGTTCGCTGGAAGCACAAAAAGCATAGAAAAGTATAGAGCAAATTTCGTAGTGTCTTAGTCGTTTAATCAAACTCATTCGTTCGGTTAGAGTCTGAGCATCTTCGTTACCTTCAAAACCGGTGACTCGAGTCAACTGTGCACTGTCATTCGTCCTAGTTGTGATCTTCGTTTTCGCTGTTATCTTTCGAATCAAATTTTCTTTGGTGGGACATCGATCCAACAGAATACTCGGAGATGTTTGTATAATCCCATAGTTATTTTTGAATAAAAATTCATTCAAATATACTCTTCACCATATGAAATAACTTTTCTCAATTCTTCAGCAATTTGTGAATGCCATCGAAGAAGAATTTTGGTAAGTAAAATTGCAAAAAGTTCCTGAAGTTTAGCAGAATTTTTTTCATATTTGTTAATTTGTAGTTTCAATTTGGTGATTTGAAGTGGCTTACAACAGACAAAGTGGTAATCTGGCAGCGAAGTCTCAGGAAAGCAAAGCGGGTAAGGTGAAACTTCTAATACCTTCCATATAAGCTATTGCAAAGCATTTTGATCAGTTTTGCAACACTAGGTCGAGCGTTTTTATGCAGCACAATCACTTTGTCGTGTCTTGCGGTCCATTCCGATAGTCTTATTTGCAATTCATGGTATGTTTTAGTTATTTATTGATGATGAAGTGCTGCATTAACCGTTTCACCAAATTCTAAGAGCTCGTAGTAGAGTACGCCTATCTGATCCCACCAAATGCACGTCTAATCTTCCTTCCATAAGCATTCCGCTTTGCAGTCGATTTTGCTGGTTGTGCGGTGTTGGTCCATAATCGTTTGCGTTTCGGATTGTCAAAATGCAGATCGACCTCTTGTCTCCATTCATAATTCAATGCAAAAAGTCTTCCTTTTCAGACGGCGGGCTTTTTAAAATTGAACACGAAAAGTGAAGCTTCCTGCAAATGGCGTTTTTCGTGCACGAAAGTTGTCTTTTTAAGGCCTATAAAATTGCATAACAATTTTAGCGCATTTAAAGCAAAAAAAGACTTCAAATATCTCCACTTTTACTGTTATTACAGTAAGAAACAACTGAACTGCGGAATCATGTCTGTTCACCTAGAAGGTGTTATTTCAAAAACAGCCAGAAATGAA